CTTTCATCATAAATAGGTTAATGCCTTTGCTACTGTGAATGGGCTTACGATATTGCTGCAATGAAGTGTGTGTTTTAAGTATTGTTGGCATCTACTTATGTTTGTCCCAAATGTGCTATTAGTCGATGTTCAGCTATTCTTCCTTTTTCCAAATGAGCTTCATCCACAGAATTTAATTTTCTTTCAGTTAAACTGGCACATGTCTGCAGATGAAATTAAACAAAATAGTTTGTATACTCGTACTGTTCTTATTTATTTATTTATTTTTAAGTGACAACATTTTGTACATGGCATTATCTAAGTAATGTATTAAAGAGACAATTTAAAGACCTGCAAATTGTGCATATATAGTACATGTAAAGTAAGACATCCTATTTTGTGTATTATGCATTATACAAATTGGACACATTTTGCCAAAACAAACAAAAACAAGTCTAAGGAGGGGCTATTACTGGTCCATCCATGCCCCGCATCTATTGACATTGGATGAAGGCTTAGTCTTAATAATAATGAGGAGTGGATAGATTACTGTCCAATCATACCCACTATCAAAATGTTTCTTTTTTTTAAACTTTAATTTAGATAGAAAATAACTTTAATTAATCAAAGCAAACCCCTAAATTATGGGATTGCCACCTCTTTCTCACTGAAGGGCTATTTAGTTTAAATTCTTTTATTATAGTGAGTCCATAGGGTACATAGAAACATAGAATGTGACGACAGATAAGAACCATTCGGCTCATCTAGTCTGCCCAATTTTCTAAATACTTTTATTAGTCCCTGGCCTTTACTTATAGCTAGGATAGCCTTATGCCTATTCCATGCATGCTTAAACTCCTTCACTGTGTTAACCTCTACCACTTCAGCTGGAAGGCTATTCCATGCATTCACTACACTCTCAGTAAAGTAATACTTCCTGATATTATTTTTAAACCTTTACCCCTCTAATTTAAGACTATGTCCTCTTGTTTTGGTAGTTTTTCTTCTTTAAAATATAGTCTCCTCCTTTACTGTGTTGATTCTCTTTATGTATTTAAATGTTTCTATCATATCCCCCTGTCTCGTCTTTCCTCCAAGCTATACATGTTAAGATCCTTTTACCTTTCCTTGTAAGTTTTATCATGTAATCCATGAACCAGTTTAGTCTCTGAACTCAGTATCCTTCTGGAGATACGGTCTCCTGCGTACAATACTCCAAATGAGATCTCACTAGTTATTTGTACAGTGGCCAGTGAAGTTATCACTAGGCTGTAATATAAACACTGCATTTTCTCTGAAAATACAGTGTTTACAGCAAAAAGCCTGAAGGTAATGATTCTACTCACCAGAACAAGTTCAATAAGCTGTAGTTGTTCTGGTGACTATAGTGTCCCTTTAAAGATTGCAGTTTATTGATAAGCCTTCTATGTGCAACAGTGTCAAAAGCCTTACTGAAATCTAGGTAAGCAATGTCTACTGCACCACCCCGATCTATTATTTTAGTTACCCAATCAAAAAAAATCAATAAGAATAATTTGGCAAGACCTCCCTGAAGTAAACCCATGTTGTCTCTGATCTTGAAATCCATGTGATTTTAGATGTTCAACAATCCCATCCTTTAACATGGTTTCCATTACTTTCCCACTACTGAAGTAAGGCTTACTGGCCCATAGTTGCCCAACTTCTCCCTACTACCACCTTTCTTGTGAACTTTTGACAGTTGAAATAGAACCTCTTCCTCTGTAAACTCACATGTAAAAAATGACTAATTTGTGCTATTTCCTAATTGAGGTCCCTTTCCTTCATTTTCACCTGTAAATACTGAACAACAATATTAATTGAGGCAGTCATCTAGACCTTTATCCTCTTCTACATACCTTCCTTCTTTTGGTTTTAATTTAACTAATCCTTGTTTTACTTTTCTCATTTATGTATCTAAAATGTTTTGTCCCCTTTTTTACTCACTATGCTATTTTCTCTTCTATGTGTGATTTGAAAGCTCTTATAGCTTGCTTAGCCTCTTTCTGCCTAATCTTATAGATCTGTCTATCTTCCTCACTCTCTTTTTTTTAATAATTACTAAAGACTAACTTTTTTTTTACTATTTTGGCCACATCTGCGGAGTACCACAGTAGTTTCTTAAATTTTTTGCTTTTACTGACAAGCCGAATGCAATTTTCTGTTGCCCTCAGTAGTGCAACTTTTAAATAATCCAATTTCTCCTGGACTCCATTTAAACTGCTCCAGTCTGATAATGACTCCTTTACACATATCATAATTTGAGAAAAGTCTGTTTTTCTAAAGTCTTAAACTTTTGTTTTTGTGTGGTGTGACTCAGTCACTGTTCTTATATTAAACCACACTGACTGATGATCATTGGATCCTAAACGTTCACCTACAGTAATATCTGATACCAAATCTCCATTTGTTAACACTAAATCTAGTATGGCCTCTTTACGAGTTGGCTCCTCAATGACTTGTTTTCGAGACAATCCCAGTAGGGAGTTTAGAATATGTGAGCTCCTGGCACAAGCAGCTATCAAGCAGCATCAACATTATTTATACATTATTAGTATATAATATGTAAGATAATAACGTTCATAACGTACATGGCATTTTCTATTTTAAAAATAAAACATCACATTTAATTAAAACACTGAACTATGCTCTATTGCACATCATGCATGAAATGCAAAGTAGAAGTAATATTTGGCTTTATCCCATCAAAGGTGCACTAGTACCTGGGGATTGGTCCCGCACTATGATGATTAATTAGCTATACTATGGGGGGTTATTTTAAGGCATATGTTAACAAATGAAAAGTTAATTTGTAGCTCCTTCATGTAGTCAATGATGGTCCAAGATTCCATCTATAAATTAGAAGCAGTAGCAAAAATAAAAGCATTTTTAAGAAACAAGCATAACAACTGGTAAAAGGTAAGATAGGAATGGCACATCTAATTATATATATGTATATACTTAATAAACAGTATGTTGCCATTATATTAAACATATCAAAACTAGCATATGTTATCTTGTGATTGTAGTGGATTATCAAATAAAGGCCATGTACAAAAAAATATAGTTATAGATATACATAGAGAGAGAGATATGAAAGAGTAAAGGATGTGACTAACATGTCAATGAGACATTCAGTGCTCAGTAATGATCTCAGTGTTCCAGTGAGGGAGAGGTGGCGATCCCATAATAAAGGGGTTTCCTTTGATTGTTCTGGCAGCACAACCTTATTATTGCCCCTGGCATTCTAGTTTCACTTTCGGTCCCAGCCCTGTCGGGTACAATGGCTCATATTACAAAGTCTTAGTGAAGAATTGATACCATATCTGACCAAAATGTCTACCGAATGAATGGAAGAGATTTGCCCTAACCCAAACTTGTCAACTGTGGATGTAACACTGATCCCCAAACCAGGTCAGGATTATCCTTGTGTAGCCAACTATCAAACCCATCTCTCTAATCAATTTTGATTCAAAAATATTTGCCAAAATACTGGCCTCACATCTTAATCCTCTTTTGCCCACATTTATTCATGCAGATTAAGTGGGATTTATTCCCACAAGACATTTGATGAAAGCACAAGGCAAGCAGTAGACCTCATATGGTGGACAAGGCACAGGGTATTCAAGCAGATCCCATACTGACCAAAAGGGAGAGTAGGTATAGGCTTACCCAACTAGCACAAATAATAGAATGGCACTTTCCACCTGACGCTCATCGTTGGGTGGACCTAGAGTCCCTATTCATGGGTTTAGACCTCCCCCAATATTGGATCTTGTTACTGAAACCAGACAGACCACCAATTCGCACTAACAACCCAAAAAACAGAATATTCAAGGATATCATTTTTCAATGCAGGATAATAGCTTCTTGAGCTAAGGATAAATCTGACTGCCATTCTGCCATTCCTGGTTTGTTGCAAAATTGGAAGTGCTTCAAACAAATGTGAGGAAGGCTGAACTTTATGGACGCAAGTCTCTTTTCAGCTATGTAATTATGTAACTATGTAACTGCCCAGCTATCTTGAACTGAATCAAGATATTAGATACAACAGCATGTAAATATTCCCTGAAAAGTATCCAGCACCGGTATGAGAAAGGGATTTTATATGGCCACAATACACTGGACTACAATTCTACTATCAAATGTATAATAATGGTACATTCAGGACTTTCAAAGAACTACAAACACGAGCCCTGCTTACCACATGAGATTACTTTAGATACATCCAACTTTGCTAGCAACCACCAAGCACGTGCAGCAGAAGTTTTTCACTGACTTATTACGAAAAGCAATGTATGACGGAAAACCCACAAAAAGGTGTTATGGATATTGTGTTTGGTTTACATGCAACTAACTCTATGGTTTATTTTCTATTGCACATGTTTCCTGTTGGTGTGGGTACTTCCTTCCTGTATCTCCTGAAACATGACTGCTATACACTAATAGCTTGCAGTGTCTTTATTTATATCACCTGAAACATGGTGTCAGAAGTATCTGAACCTGGAACCAAGAGCTTGCAAGTCTTGCAGGGAGAGTCTTTGGAAGTGATTGTGCCTCCTGTAGCAATAACAGCTACTAATGTCCTGCAAGCTGAGCATTGGAAGCACGACAACCAGCATCATGGCAACTGCTCATCGCATTCCACTAACTGAGGCAATGAGGGTGAGTGGGGATTGCAGCAGTAACTGGGATAACTTCAGAGCTGAGTTTGAGGATTACTCACTAGCTACAGGACTGAATGAGAAGCCTGCAGCAGTGCAAGCAGCCACAAGGAGGAAGGAGGGTGATGGGCAGTGAGTGCTGCCATGTTTACAAGCATAATTTGAACCTCACAGAGGAGCAAAGGAATGACACTAAAGCCATCCTTGATGCATTAGAAGCTTTCTTCAGACCTGCAAAAAATTTAATATATGAAATATATATATTTGGTAGTTGGAAGCAAGAAGAAGTTGAATTAATAGACCACTTTGTCACAAGGCTAAGAGAAAAAGCTGCAAGCTGTGAGTATGGCTCCTTGAGAGATGAACTTATTCATGTCAAAATAGTTCTAGGTATTAATACTGAAAGTACCCGCCGTCGCCTATTGAGGGAACATGATTTAAACCTACATGCAGCAATTGAGATATGTCGCACTGCAGAACTTACTGACAAACATATGAGAGCTATGGAGCAGGATAAACAGACTGACAGCATCCATGCAGCCTTCAAGCAACAGCTACGCCTGAAGAACCACCAGCACAAGCTTGAACACAATAATTGCCAAAGCACTTAGTGACGAAATCCACTTCGCCACTGGTTTTTGAGGGGCCTGTTTGCCAGCCTCCTACCCTGGGACTATGTGTCGTAGAGTGTATGGAACTGTTTTGGGCATGGGACCATGTGCACAGTGGGGCAAAAAAAAGACTTCCAGGAAATTCCTGAACCCCTGAACTAATCAGGGTGATTTTTGAATATGTTGTTCACCCAGATCAGGGCTATCAGGGGATGTGTGGGGATATGTTGTATTTTGGGGTACTTTTGGGGGTTTGTAAAAATATATGTTTTTTTCTGTTTAGAGTTAATTGAGTTAGCCCATTGTCTTTGTTAATTGTATCACAGGCAGAGGGGAGGGATTGTGTGCTGTAAGTGGGAGTGTCGGACATTGTTGTATTGTTCTGATTGGTTTGTGTCCTTTGTGTGCCTCTGTTCCATCAGGGCTAGGGGATGTGCCTCTGGCCTGAGGAATTGTATATAAGCAAACCTATACTAATAAAGCCTCAGACTTGTTCTACCCTTCATGAAGTTTTGGCTCATGTTTGGGGGATTGGAGAACTACTTACACTCTGGGGATTGCTATAATCACTATTATCCCCAGAGTATACTCACTAAGCTCTTGTAAGAGCTTGTTCCTGCTTCTGCTCTCTGGAAGCTGGATCCTGGTCTTGGGTCCAGAGTGGGTGGAAGACTGTGAGACCCCAACCAAGCTGCGGTGGTTTGTGGGGTCTGTGTTGGTTATGGTGTCTAGTGGAGTGCTTGGAGCCCTCGGGAAGCATTAGGAGCATATGTGTGTGAGAGAGAAAACATTGTCCTGCATATGGAAAATATGTAGATCATGTGGTAGGCTAAATCATTTTGTTGGAGTATGTCTGTCAAGAAGAAAGGAAGCATGGAAGCTAAACACAATTGAACAAATATCTGGTTCTGAGGATGTACTCCTGCTTAGAACTTATGTGATTTACTCAAAGGAATGAATTGGGAAAAAAATAGTTTGTAAATCTCAGACTGAATAATATATGCCAACCTTGCCAGCTGGATGTGATGTCATGAGTTTGAAAGACAAGATGATTCCTGTTGTTTCCTGGCGTGTTTACTGTTAGGGTGGGTTCTTCCTTCATGTATCTCCTGAAACATGGCTGCTATACACTAATAGCTTGCAGTGTCTTTATTTATATCACCTGAAACAAAAGGCTTAATCACATCCATATACATCCTGACAGAGAAGAGGACATATTTCCATATATTTCACAATGGGAGACAGATCTGCAACATATGCTAGAGGGAGCTGAGTGGCAAGACATATGGAAATCCGCTGCAAAGGTCTCCATTTGCATGACACTCCAAGAGCAATCTTATAAAACTGATGAGGTGGAAGAGCACCCTGGTCAAACAATTCAGGATGGGTAAGACTCACACAGACAACTGTTGGAGAGGCTGTGGTGCAAAAGTGACATATAGCCATTTGTGGTTGTCCAGTACAATTCTGGACACTAATAGAAAACCTCATAACAGATATAATGTGCAGACAAATTAGTAAAGACCAATGGACCTTCCTTTTAGCAAACCTTTAGACAGGCTAACCACACATGAGCAAAACCTGATAAACAAATTAACCCTAGTGGAAAGGAGGGCTCTGGCACAGACTTGGCTTAGAACAGAAACACCAAACCTAGACTCTGTCATAACCAAAATTAAGGATAATTACCTCAAGGATAAAATGACCGCCCAAGTGCACAACACACACATACCTTTACCAAAGTGTGGCAACCATGGGAGTATTTTATGGAATGGTGAACAACTAAATTGCACATCTTTACTTTCATGGGGAATGGGACTCCTTCTCAATAATGTCACACCTCCCTTCTTCCCTCCCCAATATACTCCCTTCCCTGACTATACTCACTCCCTTCCCTAACAATACTTTATGCCGTGCCTATCTGTATTGACTATATCCCTATATACTTGCACTGATCAATAAAGAATTTAAGAAAAAATAAATATTGTAATCTGTAATGAAAATGGTTACAAAAACTGACAGGTCTTAATTTTGATGTTCACATCAGATAAAATTCTAAAACTTGTATATAACAATTTTAAAATACTAGTATCAAAGTGTTATTGTCAGATGTTTTCTGAATAAAACAATTACCTAAGTTTTATAAAATATTCTGGACATCAAACTAGTTCAAGAAAATGGCACTTGATGGAAAAAGGTGAAACAGGTCAAGAGTAACATGAGAATCATGGAACAAGTACATTTGAGTCACAAGTGCGTAAAATCGGCAAATAAAAGCTATGAAATGCAAACTCGGCTAAATGCTTCTAGCAGTACAGATGTTTCAGCATCATTTATTCATGGGAGGTTGCATAAAGCAGGTCTAAGTGGAATTTGGGCTTGTGGACTGCAAAACTGATAAGTCAAAATGTTAAACATGTGCTCCAATTAATTAATATTTATATGATGCAAAGTTTTGTTCTCTCTATTAAAGGGACACTCCAGACACATAAAGCCCTTTGCCATGCTGCAGTGCTTTATGTGTGAAGAGTGTGACCTCTTTTTTTATCTTACAAAAAGTGCAGATTTCAATACAAATTTACACCTTTTATAAATTAACCTTGTTGCACCCCACTGGCTGTCAAACAGATAACTGGTCATATTATTTCCTCAGTGGAGCTAAACTCAAGAGGCAGCAATTGCCCAGAGCATTTGCCTTGCAATTACCTCTCATTGAGGTACACTGGTAAGTCTGTGACTGGACAGCCACAGAAATTTTGGACTGGGCAAGAAGGAGAGGGCTCGAAAAGGCTGCAGACAAGAGAGATCTGTAGGTTTTGCAAGCTGTTTTACATATACGAGCAATGAAAATTCCATAATTAAATGAAGGCATATTTCCACTGGGGTATATCTAATAAACATTGTTTTGTTTTTTAATTGGGCAGTTGACTGTCCCTTTAAGTGTTCATGCAAAAAAATAATCCATAGACCCATATATTTCATATCTGACCTGCAAATGTTCAGTCTCTCTGTTCTTTGGCACAGGCAACATATATTTATTTTGTACTATAATCACAGCAAGTTTATTTTTGCCAAATTTCTTCTTCACATAAAAAAAAAAAAAAATATATATATATATATATATTTATTTTATATATATATATATATATATATATATATATATATATTAGACATATTTTAGCTATTTACTGCAAAGATAATTATGATAAACTTGGTTTCAAGCAGGTGTATTTACAGATTTTATTTTCTCTCTCTCTCTCTCTCTATATATATATATATATATGTGTGTATACTTTAATCTCTGATAGCAGTTTAGTATATAATCCTTACCTTATGCTCTGTTAACTTGATCCACTCAATCTACTTCTTCATAGGGCTGTATTCCACTCAAACGGAAAAAGAAAAACATTTGGCAGCTTAACAGATCATTCCAAATTTAATCTCTGATTATCTTCTCAAGATTTATTTCATTGTATTTGATTACTCCGAATATTGCGTTCAGACGCAATTTGTGGCTGGATTTAACTCTGGTGCTGACAAGCACAAGTAAATTATTTTTTAATCCAGTTTATCAAAGCAGACATGGCTCGTGTTGAATTTTGTTATACACACCCTCATAATTTTGTATATTTCTTAAAACGTCATGTTAACCCCTTAGAGATCAATGACAGGTTATGATATGGTAAAATTCTGCTCTGCTTCAGAAATGCAAGTTAGGCCTCAACATATGTAAGCCTACTGAAGCAGCAAATGAAGCAGACTTTACTATAGTACAATGAAATGATGGCAGTGAACACTCCGAAAGCTTAGAAAGAGCGAATGAGCAGAATATTGGTAATGATATGGATACATATATCAGAGAATTATGGGCAACTCAGCCATTAATTGGCATGTGTGACCATAAGCAGGCTCAAGGTAAAACAGATGTACTCTTCATGCTGAAGTTAGCATTTACATAACTGTTACCTTATATTTGACTTACTATTATATCTACTTTTATATTTATTATTTATTACTATACTAATAGATATTTTTGAAATGAGGCCAAATATAATATACATAATATACAAAAATGGACACATTAAGTAATGTCTACCTTTATGTCACATATGACTGTTGCTTTTTAAGGGGTTAATAAAAAGTTGTACAGACTAAAATAAAACTCTTGTCTTATTATAAGTCTTTGTTCTGCAGCTGGAATATGATTTAAATCTGGGAATCAGAATAAGGACACTGTGAAAGCAGCTTGAATTTGCCATCTGTGTAAAGGAGAGCCTGAGATAACCCTTGTGAAAAGAGAAAATTGATTTTTGTTTCTAAGTCTATTGTTATATATTCCTTGCTTTTTTTGTTCAGCAATTTGGCGTTTTTTTAATCGCATTCTTAAATTGTGGTATGTACACGCTAGATCCCTGTGTCACTGCCAATTATAAACTGTTCCTTACATACTACAGTTCAGTGACAGCAGGTTTACGAGTTCTGACAAATGACTTTCAACTTTTATAATAAACTGAAACATACTCAGCAACAATTCTATAGCAATGATTGCCACCAAGCACTGCACAGGGCAAGTTTCAAAAATGAGAATCCAAAGTAAATTTCAATTTTACGGCCCGATTTGCCACACTGGAAATGTAGCTGCCTTAGTGATTTTTGTTTTCCAGTTTGCCTATTATGACATTAAAGATGGAATTCACTTTGAATTTTCAACTTGGTAAATAACCCTGAACAGAATGATTTTGGCAGCGTAAAATCCCCAAAATTGACATGGGTGGACAGACTTTATGGACATTCTAATAATTAATACTATTTATATATGGAAACCCAGACTAGTCTTCTGTGAATACTATCATTCAGCTTGCTGTAGGCCCAAATACAGGAGTTGGAATACTGAGTCAGATACATTTCTTTTAACTTTTCTCCTTTGGCCATATTTTGCTGTCTGGTCA